TGTGGGCGCGTTCTTCATTTCTGTCACGATTAAACACAGGATCTCGCTTGCTACATGGGCAATTGTTTGCGTCTACGGCCCGACTGACCACTCTAGGGCGGCTGATTTCTTGGGAGAAATCCAAAGCTTGGTTGGGTCTAAGCAAGGCGCCAACATCCCCATTGTCCTTGGGGTGATTTTAACCTTATCCGTTCGGGAGCGGATAAGAATAACCCTAACATTGACTGGCCTAGAGTTAACTTGTTCAATAATACGATTGCATCATTCGCCGTGCGGGAGATTGCTAGGACTGGTGCTAGATTCACGTGGACCAACAAGCAACTGTCGCCGGTGCGCAGTGTTCTGGACCGGGTGTTTGTGTCCTCCGACTGGGAAGTGTTATTCCCCATGTGTACGCTGGTTGCGGAAACGCGTATTGGGTCGGATCATGTGCCACTGATCCTAGCCTCGGGGGAGGACCGGATCAAGCGCAGCCCCCATTTCTTCTTTGAAACTGGGTGGTTTGAGATAGAGGGCTTCGGGCCCTTGCTCATGGCGCGCTGGGAGCGTGCCAGAGCGGCGGTCGGCTGCTCCAGGGGTCCTTTGGACACTTGGATCGCGGCGGCTGTGACCCTTCAGGGTTTCCTCCGTGGGTGGGGTGCAAACCACGGGAGCGAAGTGAAGCGCGCTCGGGAAGCTATTATTGCTGAAATCAAAGCCCTCGACGAACAAGCTGACTCCAGACCCTTCCTGGAAGCCGAATGGGCCCACCGTTACGCTCTTGAGAACCAGGTGCTCGCCATTCTTAGGGAGGAGGAGGAATATTGGCGCCGTCGGGGCGGCGTCAAGTGGGTTACCAAGGGCGATGCGAATACGGGATATTTGCACGCCTATGCCAACGGTCGTAAACGGAAGTGCTCGATTTTGAGACTTCAATCTGATCAAGGGATTTTGGTTAGTCAGGCTAACATCGTGGCACATATCTATGACTTCTTTCTTAATCTGTTGGGAACAGATGAGGAAAAGCGCCTCCAGCTCCGGGCAGACTTCTGGGGGGAAGAGGGCCGCGTGTCTCAAGTCGAAAATGACCTCTTGGCTTTGACTTTCTCCACGGAGGAGATCGACGAAGCCGTGGGTGCAATGAAGATTGACACGGCGACTGGTCCGGACGGCTGGCCGGTCGCGTTTTTCCGACGCTTCTGGCCGATGTTTAAAGACCTTTTCTGCGGGATTATCAATGGTTTTCCGCTAGGTACGGTAGATGTTTCGCGCCTTAACTATGGTGTGATTAGCCTTATTCCCAAAGTCAAAGGGGCCGACACTATCAAGCAGTACCGTCCTATCACTCTCATTAACGTACCTTTCAAGATTTGCTCAAAGGCGTATGCGACCAGACTTGCTCCGGTCGCGCAGCGCGTTTTAAACCATAGTCAGTCTGGCTTTCTCAAAGGCCGCAACATTCTTGAAGGGCCGATAGTGTTGCAGGAGACTATCCATGAGCTTAAACGCACCGGGCAACAGGCCGTGCTCCTAAAGCTTGACTTTGAGAAAGCATATGATCGCGTGAACTGGGAGTTCATCCGCGAGGTGTTGACTCGCAAGGGATTCGAGTCAGGCTTTGTCCACCGCATCATGCATTTGGTCTCGGGTGGCCAGACCGCGGTGTCGATCAACGGAGAGGTTGGGAACTTCTTCCGCAACAAAAGAGGTCTCAGGCAAGGGGATCCCTCCTCGCCCCTGATTTTCAACTTTGTTGCGGACGCCTTATCAGCCATGATCCATAAGGCTAAGGACGCCGGTCACATACGCGGAGTGGTCTCTCACCTCATTCCGGGTGGTCTCACCCACCTCCAATATGCGGACGACACCTTCCTGCTCTTTGAGCCTGACGATCATAGCGTAGCTTCAGTCAAACTTATTCTCCTCGCTTTCGAAATCATCTCTGGTCTTAAGATCAATTTCCTTAAGAGCAAGGTAATAGCCATTGGGATGGATCCTCCGCTCGCTTCTCATGTAGGCAATCTACTTAATTGTAAGCTAGGGAGCTTTCCAATTAAGTATTTGGGCCTGCCTATCTCAGATAAACACATCTCCATTCTGGAATGGGAACCCTTGTATGGCAAGGTGGCAAATAGAGTTAGCCCCTGGCGTGGTCGTTTCCTCTCCTCGGCGGCCAGATTAATTCTAACTAACTCTAGCATGTCTTCCCTTCCTCTGTTCATGATGGGCATGTTTTTGCTGGCTGATGGGGTTCATGACAGGCTTGATACGCCCCGATCCAAGTTCTTTTGGGAAGGAACGGGGATCAAAAAGAAGTACCACCTAATCAAATGGGCCGCGCTCTGTCGCCCTAAGAAATTTGGAGGTTTTGGGATTCTTAATTCGAAGCTAATGAATGTCGCTCTCTTAACCAAGTGGATTTGGAAACTCTCCCAAAACGAGCAAGGGCTCTGGGTGGATATTCTTCGCGCCAAATACTTCCTAGATGGGAATTTCCTTACCTCCAAAGCTAAGGGATCAACTTTTTGGAATGGGATCCAGGAAGTTATGCCAGCATTCACCTTAGGAGCCAAGTTTTGTGTCAACAATGGGTCCTCAACACGGTTTTGGTTGGACCACTGGTTTGGCTCGGAACCCTTGTGAAAAAGCCATTCCATAGCATATCGGCTTGCTACTAACGTGGATATCCTAGTGGCAGATGCGCTGCATACCAATCCGCCTGCGGTCTCTTTCAAAAGACCCCTGCTTGATAACGAACGAGCCTGTTGGGACGGGCTTGTAGCTGATGTGGCGGGAGTGAACCTTCGTCCTGAGGCCGACTCGGTCTCCTGGGCTCTCTCGCGCTCGGGGAAGTTTTCTGTCCAATCCTTGTACAACAAAATGACCGAGGGACCGACCCTGGACATAGCTAGGGGGCTATTGAAAGCTGCCATTCCCTTAAAAATCAAAATCTTCGTGTGGCAGATGTTTCGCGATCGCCTGCCCTCCTCCAATAATATCGCTCGTAGGAATGGGCCCTCTGACGGCTCTTGCGTGCTATGTGGCCAACATGAAGATGCCAACCACATATTTTTTAACTGTCATCTTGCTCGCCTCGCTTGGAGTGCGGTTAGGGAGGCGTTCGGGCAGACCTGGGATCCTCGCTCTACCTCGGACCTGCGCGCTTTACTAGCTGCTTTTAGGGGTGGTTTTGGCCGGGTCTTATGGCGCTGCGTGGGAGCCTTGCTGTGGTCCATTTGGACCACCCGCAATAAGATGACTATCGAGCACAAATTTCCTTCTCACCCGGCTGACATTATTTTTAAATGCCACTTATTTCTTCAGACATGGACACCGTTGGGGAAACGGCGTGATGCGGATCGGATGTCGAAGGCGATGGAGCGGATTCGGACGATCCAGATTGATGCCCGCCACTAGCCTGCCGTAGGCTCTGATCTTTTGGACCGGCACATTGCTCTATGTTGCTTATCTCCTCTTGCAGGCTTCGGCCGGTAGCATGTATCGTACCTTGGCTACGGCCGTTTTATCTTTGTTGTTATGTGTTGAACCTGTTGGATGCTGCCTTATGTGGGCTTTATTAATTTAAAGCCGGACGCCTCCGGCGTCTTCGTTCTAATTTTTTTTTTGATGGCTTGAGTTCGATCTGGATTGGATCATTGGGTGCGGACGCAGCGTATTTCCACGAGCGAGCCGCGAGGACGACATCGAAGCTTATTTTCAGCCTCCCGTCTATATGCGCTGTGCAAGCGCAGGCCAGAACCATATGAAAAGCTTAGCAGCCAGCGGCCGCCGCCGGCGTTAGCTGCAGCATGCATGTGACTGCACACCATGCCAAGAAGCCCGCGCGTATCGACAACGCCCGGAAAAGGACCCGTTTGTGCAGACGCGTGGAATTCCGTATGTACTAGCATGGATGAGACGGACTGTGAGCCATAGTCATGATGCGCCCGTTGTCCTATCACCCGGCCGTCGGGTTTTCTCCCCGCAAATAAAGATCGCGCGCGCAACGTGGAAAAGCCTGATGTGAATTATGCATCGCCAGCGCATTTCCCTGCGCTGCACCCGAGCCGAGCAGCTATAAATACAGCTGCAAACCAAGCAGCTTCATCACACAAGCGTCCTGCAAGCCCTCCTCCTGCGCTACACCGCACAGGAGTGCATTACACGAGCTGATCAGCTGAAGGTGAGTTGGCCTATGGCGAGGTTTGCTGCCCTCGCCGTGTGCGCCGCCGCGCTCCTGCTCGCCGTGGCGGCGGGGGGTGCCGCGGCGCAGGGCGTGGGCTCGGTCATCACGCGGTCGGTGTACGCGAGCATGCTGCCCAACCGCGACAACTCGCTGTGCCCGGCCAGAGGGTTCTACACGTACGACGCCTTCATCGCCGCCGCCAACACCTTCCCGGGCTTCGGCACCACCGGCAGCGCCGACGACATCAAGCGCGACCTCGCCGCCTTCTTCGGCCAGACCTCCCACGAGACCACCGGTACGTCAGTCAGCCACTGTTGATTTCGTTTGATGTTTTCAACGGATTTCGTGGCACTTTTGATTTGGACATGCATCGCTGCCTTGGTTAATCGTGTTCGTGCTTGTGCATGCCGTGTCAACGTGTAGGAGGGACGAGAGGCGCTGCCGACCAGTTCCAGTGGGGCTACTGCTTCAAGGAAGAGATAAGCAAGGCCACGTCCCCACCATACTATGGACGGGGACCCATCCAATTGACAGGGTAAGCAAGATCCCAAGTTTATGGTCTATAAGACGATCTCTGAAACACCATCCACATGAAAAACAGTATATTGGTCAACACTGATATCACAGACTGAAATAATCTGTAGAAAAAAATCTGCTTGAAAAGTACAGCTGTGTTGACATTCTAGCTATCCGCTAATCACGACCTGATCCAAATAAGCTTTCGTTTTCGCGTGCAATAGTTATTAATAATAACAAAGACACGGTTGGGCCTTGGTTGCCTTGGCGATGAGATTGTTCTGATGAACCAATAACTCTTCCTCGTGCGATTGACCAGGCGGTCCAACTACGATCTTGCCGGGAGAGCGATCGGGAAGGACCTGGTGAGCAACCCAGACCTAGTGTCCACGGACGCGGTGGTGTCCTTCAGGACGGCCATGTGGTTCTGGATGACGGCGCAGGGAAACAAGCCGTCGTGCCACAACGTCGCCCTACGCCGCTGGACGCCGACGGCCGCCGACACCGCTGCCGGCAGGGTGCCCGGATACGGAGTGATCACCAATATCATCAACGGCGGGCTCGAGTGCGGAATGGGCCGGAACGACGCCAACGTCGACCGCATCGGCTACTACACGCGCTACTGCGGCATGCTCGGCACGGCCACCGGAGGCAACCTCGACTGCTACACCCAGAGGAACTTCGCTAGCTAGAAGTTGCTTGTCTGATATATGCAGGTCCCACGGCCATCACAGTGTATGCACTTGTTACGAATAAATGGCAATACATATGCCGTCGTGGAATAAAGGATTCAACATCTTGATCTAGTTGATGGTGCCGTGTGTATTACGAAGGTATAACAGGCCACAACTGTAATAGATTATGTAAACTGTCTGATAAAATCATGTCAATTGTTTTGTTGTACACAAAACGAATGTATAACGGGCCGATCGGTGTCCAAACCATTCGGTCATAATGAAGAAAAGAAAAAACATGACATAAAGGATGGAAAAACTACTTGCCGCATCATGCATGATGCACACAATCATAACTGGCTGAAGTCCTGGGCCAGGTCCACATCATGACTCCTGGGCCAGGTCCACATCACACACGGAGCCTTGCCGAATTTTGGCTGAGAAGTTGCGGCTGAGACAATGGAGTAATGGGTTCTTCTCACACGCGAAGCTGCAGCTGGCCATGGCCTCGGAGGTTATCCTTAGATTGGACATGGCCATGGATCTCCGTCCGCTGTCGACGGAAGAGCGTGATCTTAGAATGAGACTCAAGAGACGGGTGATAAGCCTAGCGGTGTTGGAAAGAGCTAGGAAGCGGCGGGCTTCTCAGGTTGCGAATCTAAAGGATGGGGACGCGAACACCAGGTTTTTCCACCTCAAGGTTAACGCGAGAAGAAGAAAGAATTTCATCCGCCGCCTACGGAATGGAGCCGGTTGGGCTACGGCCCAGGAGGACAAGGAGAGGGTGGCCCAAGAACATTTCTCGGCCATGCTTCACAAGGACGTACACCCGTCGAAGGATTTCAACTGGGACAATTTTGCTTTCAGTCAGTGTGATTTGGCTTCCCTTGCTGAGCCTTTTGAGGAGAAAGAGGTGTTGGAGGCCATTGGGAAGATGCCAAAGGACAAGGCGCCGGGTCCGGACGGGTTTACTGGAGCCTTTTTTAAGGCCTGCTGGGACGTTATCAAGGAAGACATGATGGCCGTTGTTAACGGCTTCTCCAACCTTCGCGGAGATCATTTCCAGTGGGTCAACACGGCTAATATAGTGCTTATACCCAAGAAAGATGGTGCAGAGTACATCTCAGATTTCAGGCCCATTAGCCTCATCCATGCAGTGGCTAAGATTGTGGCGAAAATGATGGCTTCAGGTCTTGCTCCTTTCATGCATGTGCTAGTTTCCCACTCCCAGAGTGCCTTCATAAGGACTAGAAGCATCCATGATAACTTCGTGTATGTGCGCAACATGGCTAGGCGGATGCACCGGTTGAGGAAGCCTACTCTCTTGTTTAAACTGGACATCAAAAAGGCTTTTGACTCCGTGCAGTGGGACTAACTGTTGGAGCTTCTCCGTCGCCGCGGTTTCCCAACCAAATTCAGAGATATGGTTGCTGTCCTATTGCGCTCCTCATCCTCCAGAGTTCAAATCAACGGTGTTCCTGGTGGGCCTATTTGGCATGGCAAGGGCCTTCGACAGGGCGATCCGTTCTCACCTCTCCTATTTGTCCTAGCAATTGACCCCATCCAAAGCATCCTTGACACTGCCACACGCAAGGGCAAGCTTCACCAGATAGGCGGGAGGAGCACCCGCATGCGCACCTATGAAGGAAATATGCCCTAGAGGCAATAATAAAGTTATTATTTATTTCCTTATTTCATGATAAATGTTTATTATTCATGCTAGAATTGTATTAACCGGAAACATAATACATGTGTGAATACATAGACAAAGTGTCACTAGTATGCCTCTACTTGACTAGCTCGTTAATCAAATATGGTTATGTTTCCTAACTGATGCGTCCACTACTACATTAGCAAAAGTTGATCAAGCTACAAATTCTAATATGAAAATGATGGGCGCCATAGCACATGAGATTCCACCGGAAGATGATGTGAAACCCAACTTCAGAACGCCTCCAAAGCAAATTCTTATTGGATCGGTCCTCATCAATTATTATCCAGAGTCCTTGGAAATAAATCCCAGTGCACGACCCAGGAACCTATCCGAAAAGCATCAGGTTACCAAGATGTAGCAAGTATATTTTATGCGTGCGGCCTTCTAGTATTTAGTTAAGAAAACGTGTCAGAGTTGGTAAGTACTAGGACGTGCTAGTACGGAGTACTACTAGTTGTTAGGGGTTAAAGCGTTTTTAAATAGGGAAAGACCTTGCCGATTAGGCAAGTAACAGAGTCCTGGTCGGTTAGTACTTAGAGCCTGCGCGCTCCTTAAATAAAAGGATACGGCCGTGTAACAAGATCAGATTGGTTTTTAGTCGTGAGTTACATAAAGCTACAGAAAACGTCCCATGTCGGGGGACACCAAATATCTTTGTTGCTGATCTGTGAGGATTTTGTTGCTGTTGCGCGTGGAGTTGATCTAATCTACTCGACGCTAGTTTTGATCTTACGGTCTTGCATCTTCGCTTGACCGAAATTTCTTATTGCCACTGCTAGTACCGTGAAAGGTCGGGCCGACGAACGACTCGCCATCTAGTCGAGTCGTTTATCAAGTGGTATTCAGAGCTAAGGTTGTTCACGGTATTGTGTTGATCAAGATGTCGACCTCGGTCAACAAGGAAGACGAGGTTGTTGCTAATTCTCAGGAAATTGTACGTCCAGTGTACGCGGATGATATTCCTCAAAATATTCGGGATGGTTTTGACCACACATTCAACTACATCAAGCAATGTCATGATGCGCTCGGCAAAAGGATAGATGTCCTGATCACTCGGTTTGATGGTTTGGCAGATATCATCAATATGCCGGCATCGAATTCTGCACCACCACAGACTGCTCCGGCTGCTCCACTGCATTATGCGCCACCAGCTCGCGACGGACATACCGGCGTGCATGATCGCCGTTTGGCGGCACACCCTCATGCTGGAGATGATGGTTTCGATGATGGCATTGACCATGCGGGGTACGCGCCACGACCACGACACTATGAGCCTCGTCCCGAAACATCCGTTCGTGGTGGAGTGCATGACCGAGTTGGTCAAGCTGTGCGTGTGCCTTTGGATGATGGAATTGTTGGAAATATGCCCTAGAGGCAATAATAAAAGTATTATTATTATATTTCCTTGTTCATGATAATTGTCTTTTATTCATGCTATAACTGTATTATCCGGAAATCGTAATACACGTGTGAATACATAGACCACAATATGTCCCTAGTGAGCCTCTAGTTGACTAGCTCGCTGTGATCAACAGATAGTCATGGTTTCCTGGCTATGGACATTGGATGTCATTGATAACGGGATCACATCATTAGGAGAATGATGTGATGGACAAGACCCAATCCTAAGACTAGCACAAAAGATCGTGTAGTTCATTTGCTAGAGCTTTGCCAATGTCAAGTATCTCTTCCTTTGACCATGAGATCGTGTAACTCCTGGATACCGTAGGAGTGCTTTGGGTGTATCAAACGTCACAACGTAACTGGGTGACTATAAAGGTGCACTACAGGTATCTCCGAAAGTATCTATTGTTTTATGCAGATCGAGACTGGGATTTGTCACTCCGTGTAAACGGAGAGGTATCTCTGGGCCCACTCGGTAGGACATCATCATATGCGCAATGTGACCAAGGAGTTGATCACGGGATGATGTGTTACGGAACGAGTAAAGTGACTTGCCGGTAACGAGATTGAACAAGGTATTGGATACCGACGATCGAACCTCGGGCAAGTAACATACCGATAGACAAAGGGAATTGAATACGGGATTGATTAAGTCCTTGACATCGTGGTTCATCCGATGAGATCATCGTGGAACATGTGGGAGCCATCATGGGTATCCAGATCCCGCTGTTGGTTATTGATCGGAGAACGTCTCGGTCATGTCTACATGTCTTCCGAACCCGTAGGGTCTACACACTTAAGGTTCGATGACGCTAGGGTTATAAAGGAAGCTTGTATGTGGTTACCGAATGTTGTTCGGAGTCCCGGATGAGATCCCGGACGTCACGAGGAGTTCCGGAATGGTCCGGAGGTAAAGATTTATATATAGGAAGTCCTGTTTCGGCCATCGGGACAAGTTTCGGGGTCATCGGTATTGTACCGGGACCACCGGAAGGGTCCCGGGGGCCCACCGGGTGGGGCCACCTGCCCCGGGGGGCCACATGGGCTGTAGGGGGTGCGCCTTGGCCTACATGGGCCAAGGGCACCAGCCCCAAGAGGCCCATGCGCCTGGGGAAACCCTAAAGGAAGAGTCCCAGCAGGGGAAGGCACCTCCTAGGTGCCTTGGGGGTGGAGGACTCCTCCCCTGGCCGCCGCCCCCTTGGAGATTGGATCTCCTAGGGGCTGGCGCACCCCCCCCCCTTGGGATCCCTATATATAGTGGGGTAGGAGGGCCTCCCAAACACACCTTATGCCTTTGGTGCAGCCCCTCCCTCTCTCCCAAGTTCTTCTCCTCTCCCGTAGGTGCTTGGCGAAGCCCTGCTGGATTGCCACGCTCCTCCACCACCACCACGCCGTTGTGCTGCTGTTGGATGGAGTCTTCCTCAACCTCTCCCTCTCTCCTTGCTGGATCAAGGCGTGGGAGACGTCACCGGGCTGTACGTGTGTTGAACGCGGAGGTGCTGTCCGTTCGGCACTAGGATCATCGGTGATCTAAATCACGACGAGTACGACTCCATCAACCCCGTTCACTTCAACGCTTCCGCTTAGCGATCTACAAGGGTATGTAGATGCACTCTCTTTCTACTCGTTGCTGGTCTCTCCATAGATAGATCTTGGTGACACGTAGGAAAATTTTGAATTTCTGCTACGTTCCCCAACAGTGGCATCATGAGCTAGGTCTATTGCGTAGATTCTTTGCACGAGTAGAACACAAAGTAGTTGTGGGCGTTGATGTTGTTCAATATGCTTACCGTTACTAGTCCAATCTTGTTTCGACGGTATTGTGGGATGAAGCGGCCCGGACCGACCTTACACGTACTCTTACGTGAGACAGGTTCCACCGATTGACATGCACTTGGTG